TATCTACTAGTTTTAACAGGTTTGGGGGACATTTTTTCTTTATCAACCCGCTTTTGATGGATGGCCACCATGCACTATCGAAGGCTCCCTCTATATCTAGGGATATAACTACAACAATCTTTTTGTCTACTATATCCGCTCGGATATGATTCACCATATCATAGAGGGAGTCTTCTGTGCTCTTCTGTGGCATTAAACTATATTGGCGGGTGTTGAGCGTGAGCAGCACATGCCATCTAATTCTACGAACCATCGCTTTTTCCAGCATCTTGCCAAGCAGCGGTAATAATCCTATTGGTCGAAATGCCTTAGGACTGGTGTAATCACCTTTCCCGGTCTTCCGTAGGATCACAACCGTTGCCTTTTTCCATACTGCTGGAAAATAGAAATACGATAGTTCTAAGCATTTGTTTGCTATTCCCAGAAATATTTCTGGGTCTGCTTCGTATGCTGTTTGGCAGATGTCTGCGGTTAAGCCGTCCCCTCCAGGGGCCTTTTTTGGATTGAAGCTTTTCACGACACTTGTTAATTCGTTTGTTGTGAACGGTGGATCATCTTCGGCTCCTGTTTCGGTACTGGTAGCAATTTACCTACGTAACAGAAATTGCGAATAAGAGACACAGCACATGATAAAAAAAATGCGCCTCTTACCTATTCGATTTCTGCGTCATAATCGCTAGACTTTTCTAGTGTCCTCATGATGCACAACAACGTAAGACAGAAGAGTACGAGACCATAGAGTCCAAAAACCTGTGACCTGTAACAATAATAGCCATAATAAAAATAGTCACTAAAATAATAGCCATAATAAAAATAGTATAAATATAGTAATAATTGTAAATAGCACTTACCTTATAAGATACAATAATTTCAAAGAATGTAAAATAACACCATAGAATTAAGCACAGTAACCTGATGTAACAAAATAAATGTAATTACCAAAAATATTGAACACAAATATGTACTATAGTAATAAGAAAATTTAGAAATACCAAAGTCAGAAGAGAATTGATTTAATATTAAAAAAAAAAAGAAACATTGTCCGAGTTACTAGTTGCCGTAGTGTTCAGTGAAATGGTGTGGAAAGTGTAGTACAACGTCTAGTCTAACCAAAGATGGTATTACATTTCACAGGTAAGTCGTTATTCCATCATTAATCATTGAATTGAAAAAAAATATAATATTTACCCAGAAATAAAATATAAAAAGAGCTCACGTTGATGTCTTTTTAGTTTTTTCACATCCCTTTCTTTCGTAGATAAATTCACATTATATTATCTCGCTATGTCATTAGCACGTGTAAACTAGTGATGAGACACAATGTAAACATAAAAATTACGTTTTTCGAAAAACATAATTAATAAAACTTGATATTTGTACAGCAGTCTAATGTTGTCTGTCTGTAGGTTTTCCCGACTACTGAAGGGAGGGTAATGTGTTGGCCCTTATGTAAACCAAGTTGCCGTCCAATGTATTTTTCTTCAAAAACATTGAATACTTTAACTAGCGAAGAATTATTTTCCGATTTACTGCAGCATCAGTTTGATTATGAAAACGACAATCATTTAATTGACTTAATAAAATGCATGATTGATAAATATATTAATATACGACTGGCTTACTTAACAAAAAAAAATCCGAATCAAAATCAATAAGAAGAGTTTATACAAAATTAATACATTTGGTCAATAGTCGATATTGAAGTGAAGTGCCATGTCAAATGTTATTGAAAATGGACGCACAAAATGGCGATGCATATGCGGGTTGTTTTACAGAAATTTACTTTTTTTTTTCATTCTTTGCAGATACGTGGTTTAATAAAGTTGGTTGATCTCTGTGGATCATAGACAGTTGATGTTAGATATTGTAGCTGGAAGTCGATGGTCGGCGACTTGAACCCGCTGGCTCTAAATCATTAGAATTACCGTTTCCAGTTTATAACATTGTGATTTTCCTGATTAAATTATGTAATGAATATTGAATATTTTATTATTCGCGTTCAGATGACCAAAAACCAAATTCTTAGGTTATTTATATATATAATGTTAAAATGTGAATAGTTAAAATATATATAATATTTTATTGTTTTAATTTACAAATTTTAAAAAATTATTTTGATATCCAAAAATAACAACTGTTTGTATATGTTTTAAGTTTTCACTTCTGTCGACAGTCCTCATGACTGCTTTTTTTACTTTAGTAAGCTAATACCTAAGTTCAGTAAGTATCAAGTAAGTACCAATCTCACTATAGTAAATAATTTGTATAACAATTAACATGTTTTTTTCATTATCCTGTTATATATACGATAATCGATTCGACTCAGTTATCGATATTGATAAATGAGTCTCGTCCATCACTAGTAACTTGTCACTAATATCACGGATTACCGTGATATTATTACATAACATACGTGTAATATTATTAAAAAACGTGTAATATTATTACATATATTATAACGTGTAATATTATTACATAACATTACCGTGCTATTATTGTTAACTTTGACATGTGTTTCAAGTTGTGGTTATATATAGTTTATATTTAGGTAATGCTATTGTTTTCACTAACGTTGCTAGATTGCCTATCTTCAATAGACTTTTAATAAAGTATTTCCAAAGAGAAGTCAGTTGTTACAAATACTTCGTGAAGAGAAGTCCACATTCCACAACAATATACAAGCACATTAACCTATTACTAAATAATCATTTATCATTCTATTGTATTTATTATTAATCAACAATAACAAGTAAAAAATAAAAACTATTTTGGCGCGGAAACCATAGACACAGAACAAAAATACTCTAGCCACAGACTACCTAGAGATTAGTGAATCAGAATTAAGAGATAATAGAGTAGACTGTAGAGAAGGGCTGCCAGATAACAGTCATTGATTTACCCGGCCGATAAACCTCAAAATACACGGCTTATCCCGCCGGACGGCGCCCACCATGAGCAGAATACACGAAAATAGTTTTTTTAGTAATTTATTCATTTTATATAGAATAAAATAAAGTAGGTACTAAAGTTATAAAAAGAAGTCATTGTAATCAGTTCTTAACTAAACAACTTTAAATTATTAAATCAAACATTAAAAAAAACTTAAAATGTAAATAAAGCTAAGCTAAAATACCTTTATTTTTTTATTTTTTTTTTATCGTTGGGAAATGCATTTACGCACGACGTGTGGGACTCACCGGCGTAATACAGCCAGTACTACCCACTAAAACCCAACAAAACCTTCCCCCGTCTTAATGGGACGTCGCAGGATCGCTTACGCATTCAACTATGACGCCCCGACGGCAGGTCTGCCGAAGCAGACCACCACAACCATGGGGTTGCTCCACAGTCCACTCTGCTATCAGAGAAGTACCAGGAGCAACCCGCATGGTACACCGCCCTCCGAAGAGGGCCACCTCCCACCGAAGTGGGCAACCTCCCTGTGCGTTTCTTAGCTTCGCGCCCGGTTGGATTGCCGGGCACTACTGAGCCCCCCCACCATAAGCTAAAATACCTGCTTTGATCCCGCTCAATGCAAATACCCGTCAAAATTACCCGCCATCGAAAATCGCCTAAAATTACCCGCTTTTCGGGTAATTTACCCGCTTTTCGGGTAATTTACCCGCCAATTGGCAGCGCTACAGTAGTGTAGAGACAATTGACAATGACAGTTAGCGCCTAGTGATCAGGCATCGACCACAAACTATATAGAAATCATGGATGACAAATAAAAATGTTACGCTTAGCGGCTTAAATCGACGACTGCCGTCAGGTGAGGGCGGGCGGCGTCACCAGCGCCTTACTTTATTGAATATAATAATTGTTAAACCATTTTAATGCCAAGAATGAATAACTCTGGCCATTTAGTGGACACAATGGTGCGCGATATTACCCCATAACGTCATTAAAATAATATTTACTTTAATTAACAATAAAATTTACATTTTTTAATATTACTTACTTCCTTGTCTAAGTATCAGGTATAATATCATCTCTGGAATGAGACATTTTCTTTCTAAATAGTTGTGGCTTTGAGTTTGACTTTCATTAATGAAATAATATATCTAATATATATAGTATCATATTAAATAAATAAAACAATTCATATTTATGAGTAATTTAATAAGTAAACTTTATTAATGTAGTGTATGTGCTAGCAACTTCCATCTCGCACCGGCGACTCTACCTGGAAGAAATAAATAATAATTGATGAAATAGAACATGTCTGTGTATGAGGATATGAGAGACAACTATATTGGAGCCACTTAATTTATTTATTATTATTCTATACAGATAAATAAAATTGAAGTGTCTGTTTGTAATGTCAAAATGATAGCTTTTTACTAAATGCATATGGAATTATATAAGGTTTCTATAAGAAAAACACAAATTTTAAAATATTTGTTTGTCTGTCTGTCTGTTTGTTCCTGGCTAATCTCCGAAACAGCTGGGCCGATTTTGACGGGACTTTCACTGGCAGGTAGTTGATGTTATAAGGAGTACCTTAGGCTACTTAAAAAAGAATTAGGGTTCCGCTCAAAAAAAAAATGTATCTCGGGACGTAACCGAGCGAAGCGAGGGTGAGTCGCTAGTTGTTATATATATCGATAAACGAATATGAAAAGTTTTTTATCGATATTTCAAATTATGTTTGACGTGAGTATCATTATCGTGATATATATGAACACGCCGGCGTGTCAGTTAACAATAGATTTCTTAGAATTTTAATTAATTTCTTAGAAATTTACCTGGAGGTGTGATCGCTTAATTTGTTATTATAATACTGTCCTAGATTTACGCGAATATTTGCCATTTTAAATAAAACTATCTTTTCGGATTATTTCGCGGATTTATTTTGATTTTTGGTTCCCCAAACTTAAAGCAAAAAAAATATATATTTCGGTTTTTGTAACCAATAATCAAAATAAATGCGCGAAATAATCTGAAAAAGATAGTTTTATTTAATATACTCTGCTGTCGATTGTATAAGTTACCAGTTAGAGCGTGAGCAGGTCGGGCGCGGCGTGGTGCAGCAGGCGCTGCGCGGCGGCGGCGGAGGAGCGCCACGCGTCCAGGCGCCGCGCCAGCGCGCCCGCGCCGCCGCGGCCCAGCGCGCGCGCGCGCACCCACCGCACCTCCACCGTGCCGCTCACCTGCAAGCACGCACACACACACACACACACACAGGTTAATAATAATAATAATAAAAAAAATAACAATACTTTATTAGCATAAAGAGGTTATAGTGATGACAAAGCTTGTGGTCGAGGTCCCCATTTAAGCAAGTAATTTTTGCCTGTATTAAGAGACCTCGCCCTTTCATAACAAAACGTACAGATTTAATCCTTAATCCAATTATACAAGTTAATATAGATGTTAATTATTAGGTACAATATAATAGTCTTTCAAATTTATTTATTAATAAAAATTAGTAATATATTGAAATTAAAAAAATATATATATTATTAATTATAAAATTAATAAAAAAACAAAAAACCGACTTCAAAACGCTAAACAGTAAAAAATAACTTAACGGGAGTCTTCATCTATACATATAATAAAATTCTAACTAAGCCAAATCTGTACATTATATATTTTTTGGAAAAATCTTATTGAAATAGACAATATTATCGATACAGAGGCCGAATCTATAGTTTTTAGAATTTTTGTCTGTTACCACATCACAGAAAAACTACTGGACGGATTCTGATGAAATTTGGTATAGTCATAGCTGATTATCCGGGTCAACATATAGGATACTTTTTACCCCAAAAGAAATATCTCATTTCTGAGAAAAAAATACAAAAACTGTAATGTAAGAGTATACTGATATGTAAAACCTAAGAATTTGGTTTTTGGTCATCTGAACGCGGGCGGAGCCGCGGGCAATGCTAGTGAAGTTATATAATGAAGGCTGGACGAGCTCTCCATGGCCGGACTCGTGTACCTGGTCGATGTGCCCCCGGATGAGGTTGTCGGCGAGCGCCTTCATGACGAGCAGCTCGACGTCGGGCGCCGGCACGCGCGCCTCCGCCGCGATCTCCGCGAACGTCAGCCGGCGCGCGCTCGCGCCGCGGCTGAACGCCATCTGCACACACACACACACATACACATAGAACAAATCTATACTGAATATTATAAACGTGAAAGTGTGTTTGTTTGTTTGTCCTTCTTTCACGTCGATATGGAGTGACACATTGACGTGATTTTTGTGTAGAGATAGTTGGAGGGCTGGAGAGTGACATAGGCTACTTTTTACAGCGGGAGATTGTCTCACTCCCACAGGAAAACACGTTACAATGCAACCATAAAATATTTGTGATCAGTAAGTACTACTTGAAACTTAGTATTAATGTTGTTCAATACAATTAAATAAATACGTGTTTTAGTATTTTTCAAACATACATGCATTTTGTTTTTTTTTTATAGTTTTAGCGCGAGCGAAGCCGCAAGTTCTACTATTAAGTAATAAAAAATACACAAAAAGTAACGTAGACAAATATAGTTATCTCTATAAGAGATCTCTTCCAATCGACCCGTGTATGTAGGAAATAGTGTCAAAAAGCGGGACAGAAGGAGAAAGTGCAGAGGTAGTATGAAATTTTAATATTATTTATATGTTTCATTGTCCTCTACATATTTGATTATTATTATATTATTATGATAATTTCATCGCGCGCTTTTAATAAAATTAAATAAAATTACAATGTCAGTGTGTTACTGATATCACCTTACTCCTTTCAAGGACAAAGCTAACTGGTGCTCAACTGGCACGCTTTGAAGCCAATAACAAGAGCATTGAATCGAAGAACAAAGTATCTCCCTTATTTATTATCCCTTATACTTTAAGAAATGAATTATAAACTTCATATATTTATACAATTAAGACATTTGCATTACAATAAGATGATACAAACCTCCATGAGACAGAGGATGGCGATCTTCTGGCGCAGCTGTCGGTCGGCGCGGTGCAGCTCCTGGTGCGGCGCCTGCGCACTGCAACACACACACACACACACATTTAAATATACAACATAAATATTTATATGTTTAATTTATTATGTGTATTTCATAATTCAAGTGATTACGATGAAACCATGGTGTATTTTTGTTCAATAAAGTTTGACATAAAGTTCTATCAACATATGATAGATGGTTCTTGTCAAATAGTATATGTTTATGTACGTATATAAAATTAAAAATAATATGGCGGAATGCATTATATAATATTAACTTTGGGTAAAGTGAGAACACATCTCACCGGACACCAGGGCTGCAGTTCGAGCAGGTGGAAGCTTCCTCACTGACTGACTACATTATATCTTTTTAAATTAAATATACAAAAAGCTTGCCGAAATGTAACATATACCCACAATATAAAAATCCATACAGTAGGCGATCGCCTTTCATATCGAAACAAAGTTTCAAAACTACCAATTTATGAATGGTTTCAAAGTGGAAAATTGAGATGCTATAAGTGCCACCTCGTGGTCGCGGCACCGACCGTATGCTCTCGAAGGCCTGCACGTCGCCGGCGGCCACGGCGCGCACCAGCTCGCGCGCCCACGCGTCCTCCGTGCCCTCCAGCGACTCCAGGATGGGGTGCGCCAGCTGCGGAACATACCATCCCATACCATTCATATTATAAATGAGAAAATTTGGATTAACGTTTGTTACTCAATCACGCCAGAACGGCTGAACGGATCTGGATGAAATTTGGCACAGAGATAGATTATTATAATCTGGAGTAGCACATAAGTTACTTTTTATCCTTTTATTTATTTTAAATTTTTTTATTCTTTTATTTGATACACGATATATACATAACAATACATACATATTTTATAAAATATATAAACACCCATGACTTGAGTAAAAACATTCGTGCTCATCATAAAAATGAATGTCCCCAGCGGCACTCGAACCCGCGACCGCTGGTACAGCAAGTAGGGTCACTACAAACTGAGTAACGTGTCGTCAACAAGTTGTACTATATATGTATAATATGTACAAACATTTCACATTTTGCCTTTGTTACACACTTGTCCACGTGTATTTGTTGTGATTAAAGATAGTATAGAAACTAGAAAAAGATTTGAAAAGCAACGTTTTCGATCATAATTATATATTTCTATAAATTATAATTATAGATTTGATTTCAGTTTCCTGCAGTAAAAAGTATCCTATTAGTTGACCCGGATAACCAGCTACCATCATACCAAATTTCATCAAAATTTGTCCAGTGGTTTTCTAGTGATGTGTTTCCAGACAGGTAGATAAAACTTCTAAAAACTATAGATTCGGTGTCTGTATCAATAATAATGATTATTTCAATGAGATTTTTCGATCAGGCACTCAGAGACATAGGCATTTTTCATCTTTCAATTACATGTATCGAATTTGACTATGGGATTGTTCAGCGCTTAACATGTAACGGCTAGCGTGTGTGTCTGTCAGGTGTGTGTATGACAGATGTAGGTAGGTAGGTACCCACCAGCTCGCCGAGGTCGTAGACGGTGGGCGCGAGCACGGCGGCCAGCGCCAGGTCGCGCGCGGCGCGGCGGCGCTCGGCCGGCGCCAGCGCGGCGCCGCCGCCCGCGCAGCCCACGTGCCGCAGCGCCGCGCGGTAGTAGCGCGCCAGCGGCCCGCGCGCCCTGCACACATACGTACATAGTGTTGCAGAAACACTGTTCTTTTTTTCTACCGAGATATAAACTTAAAAAAACGTGTGTGTGTACTTGTGTTGAATGTACACACGTAAGAAGTTATATTTCTTTGGCGTAACAGAACTAAATGTCAAAAAATAGCTAAAGTTGTAACAACTCTATGTTTGTAAAAGAAATTCAGCTAACTTCATCATGTCACTTTTTGGCTGTCGGTGTGCGCGCGCATCGTAAATATTTTACTCTCATACATTTTTTCAAACGTGCCAAAAGGATACGTGTTTTTTTTGCTGGCGCATGTTTTTTTTCAAGAATACAGAATTCAAAATCATTTGCTGGTTTCCGTAAAAGATTAATCCTTAAGAATTCTTATTAAAATTTTCTGTTTATTTTCATACGATTTTGGTTCAATAGTGCCGAGCTTACATGGGAAAATTCCCACACTGACAAAGATGAGACTAGTGTAGACGGAACTGACACTGAAAGTGGTACTGACATCGACACAGAGGAAGAATACATTTTTATTTAATTGATTCATTATACTTCATTCGATTTGTAATTTGATAAAATGTAAGAAGTTAGAAAACATACTTTAATAAAACTTTTTTTCCTATAGATTTTTTTTTCAACATAGTCAATTTTTTTTTTTAAATAGGCTCACTCTTGACCTTCATCTTAGCTTAAATGTATAGATAAGGTCTATGATGTAGCGAGTTTGCCCAGAAGAAGTCTGTTGACACGCACCTTAAAAAGTTTCAAGTTGTACATAATAAAACAGTCGTTTTTTCACGTTACATCCACTACGCACACACAAGCACACACGTGTGTTTACCTACAATACCTATGGACCAACCTGAGCAAAGTGAGGATGAGTCGCTAGTAAAAAATAATCCCTACAAAAATATATTTCCTTTAAAGGTCATCATTACTTTTAAGATTATCCTGATGTCAGTGTATTTTACTATTAAACAATCACCTATAATACTCAGAAGCAAGTTTGTAGAATCTTCCATGCACGGGAGTGACTCCATCGGCGTCTTCCAGAGTGTTCTCTAATTGTTCTATGATCTTCTCAGTTGAGTCTAAGTCGTCCAGATGTTCCAGGTAGATCTGACCTTGCAGGACCTGGGGATATGGAGAATATGTATGTCATATTAATAATATAAATGTGAAAGTTTTTATCAATATTTAGATGCTTTTTACTAATTGGTTCCATATCTATACTTATTATAAAAATAAGTCCCCCGGCCGCGTCTTTCTGTCCTCCTGTCTGTCCTCCTGTCTGTCTGTACGCGATAAACTCGAAAACTACTGAACGGATTTTTATACGGTTTTCAACAATAGAAAGAGTAATTCTTGAGGAAGGTTTAGGTATATAATTTATTATGCTTTTATGTAAATTAGCTGAAATACGGCGACAAATGTTGAAGAGGTCGCAAAAAATCTCGCCAAATGGGAACTTTCCACGCGAACGCCGCGTAAACTAGCAAAGATACAGTTAAGTAATGTACTAGAGAATTCAAAATCTATAAAAATGCTACAAAAAAGTCCGCGATAGCATATCTCTATCTCTTACGGTTGACTTACAATAACCACTTTTATGTTAACATTTTTAATTAAAAACATTACGTTATTTTCAAAGTTATTTTCTTTAGTTCGGTATTAATCCTTATCCAAATGAATATTTTAGTTAGCTTAGTCATTTAATGCAGATTAAAATTGCTCTTTACACTAAATCAATCAGATGAATAGTTTTTGAGATATCGTTGTTAGAAGTAATTAGTAGCGAAACATTTTTAATGCTTGGCGAGCATTGAGATGCCTACGGCGAGTCCATCCCCTCTGCCCCGCATCGCTCGACCGCCTGCTCAAGCTATATAAACCGGGCGATGTAGCGCGCGATCCTAGGATACTTTTTACCGCGGGAAAATATCTTATTTCTGAGGAAAAATACAAAAACTGCAATGTAAGAGTATACTAATATGTAACACCTAAGAATTTAGTTTTTGGTCATCTGAACGCGGGCGGAGCCGCGGGCAATGCTAGTATTCAGATAAAACTTAGCCACTAAGTATGTCCAGCACATAATATATGGGATGTTTTTAGAGTTGTTTGTAATTCTGTAGAATTATGTTTATAATAGACTATTTGGCCATATACCCAATTCCAGATATTCGGTGAGCTTTCTGGCCGAATATTAGGCAAAAGTATTCAGTTAGCATAAAACTTGTGGTGGACGTGTTTGTTTCTTGTTTGGCGCCAGGAAGTAGTATTTATTCAGAGCGTTTTTTCTCTGAAGCTAGGATTGTCACTTCTACATTTTAATTATGATAATATGCAAGTGCATAGAAATTTATTTCGATACAAAAATATACATTAATATACTCACTTTACATAGTGCAAGTGCCTCATCATTCATCTTTACTTTAGCTTCAACTTTCTCCAGGAATGCCACGGCTTGTTTCTTGTCTGTGTACTGTTGGACAATGTGAGCGATAATTTCCACCAGGGACAGAGGGTTAATCCTGTAATCATATTTATAATTAAATAAATAAAATAGCATTTATTGAGAGGGTACAGTACACTGTAAATATTATAATTATAAATAGTTGTGCCTATTGCCAAAGGCTTCCTCCGATTTTCGCCATTGAGATCTATCTAGAGGCACCCGTGTCCAGAATGGTCCTAGTGTATCACATATATTGCAATTTATTAATATATTGGAACAATCTTTCAGTTCTTTATCATTCGTTATACTCTGCACAGTTAGCAAATGAGAGCTAGATGAGGAAAATAATATAATATTTCGATCATTGTGACACTTTTTGTTATATACTATTACTTACGAGCACCCTTTGTGAGATTTCTATGATAACAAAACTATAATAATTTATAGAACAAGGTATGCCCTCTAGTAAGATAAAATTATCTAGTAAGATAAAATTATCCTGTAAGTTAAATACATGATTTTCCAATTAATACCTAACATTACTACTGTTTTCTGTAACTTGAAATTTCTTCAGGTTATCCTACATGGTTGCTACATATAACACAGTTTTATAATTGATACTATAATAGAACCATAATAAAAAAATACCAAATTGTTATTGTTAAAATATATATACTTATGTTCTAAATGTACAATATTATTTACTTCTTTATTGAAACATGAACTAAAGATAGAAGTAAACAAAATATTATAGTCAGACGAAGTGACTTGCAAAAAGTACTTACTTGTTCTCAAATATTGTAATAAAGTTGTTGTATAGCTGTATTAAATTGTCGTCGCTTTGAAGTGAAGGATGTTTCACGAAATCCATTAATTTTAATGTAAGTTGATGCCATAGCCTGAAAAATTATGATACGGAATATTAATCATATTATATTGTATTAATACAAAAATACGATAAATGAACTTGTACTTACTTTTTATTGTACAATTCCTCTAATTTAGCCCAGTCTGCTGCTAATTCGGGATCAGAGGCTTGTTTTTTGGAAAGATAATCATTGGCATCAACAACCGCAAACTTTACGGTAGCCATGTTTCAAAAAATATATCGCGTAATGATGTGAAGCTAGTCGCAAAGCTCAACTAGTAAGTGACATATAACTTTTTTTAGAAAAGCAAAAGTATTTAAACATTCAGCCAATGTTTACACTGACATCTAGCGTCAAGTAGAAACAACATCACAACAAACCGAAACATAGATGGCGCTTCACGAAGAAAGTAAATTGCTGAAATGGCTCTACATTTTCGTTTAATTTTATTTTATGAAAAGATTGCGAGGTAATAGTGTTAACATTAAGTAATTCTTAAAATATAAAACATTCTTTATTAGGATCGTTTCATTGTTTTTAATTTTTATTAGTATTTTATTCAACAAATCAATAACAATCTTTAATGTAATATAATATTGTAATTTCTCTTCTTATTTTAACTAACATTAGGTCATTTATTTACAGTTAATAGTGAGCAGTAAGCGCTGTTAGCATTTACACTATCTATCTATATATTTAATATATATGATATATATGTATGTATATCAAAAATATCTATTGGTTTCAAAATATACTATATTTATGTATTTTTGTATTCTAATTTTTATATACAGTGATATATTTAATTATATTATTTCTTCCTTTCCTCTTACAGTTTGCTATTTCCCACACCTAAATGTTGCCTGGAAGAGATCGCTGTTTTAGCGATAAGGCCGCCTCTTGTACATTATTTATCTGTTCTGTATTTATTTATTTCTTGGTGTATAATAAATAGTTAATTATAATTATTTGTTGATGTTCATAAATTTTAAAAATAATATCTAAATTTTTCATTAGTTAAACACTTATGTATGTAAGACTTTAACTGTTTGTGTCCAGTGGACACTCACACAGTGGAACTACTGAATAAGAATTTATTAATTCTTTCACTAATTAAAGTTTACTATTTTACAGTAATATTATAGTCAAATAAGTATAATATAGAGTCATAGATTTAGATTAGAATATTCAAACTACGTATAGCACGTGTTATATTAAACATAATGTATTTTTATAAATTATTAATAGGAAAATTATTTCAATAATTGAGAAACCTATTTAAGATACTTCTTAGCTATTCTCTTTATCTCTAAACTCTAAAGTATTTCACTTTCTCTACTCTCTTCTGTATTTTTTCTTTATTTAATATTATTTGTTTTTTTTCGTTATAGAACATTTCCTAAAAATAATTTGTTATAGGTATGACAATATTGCAAATAATAATAAATTAAAATGCTAAATATTAGTACAGTTTTACTTGTTTTATTGATTGTGTCATTTTGTGTGTCTAAATGTTTTTTTTTCATTTTGTAATTTTCTTAGTTATCAAGCAATAGGAAGTGAAATAAAAGATGTTAAAAATAAGTGTGTTAAATATTTACTTTAAAAAAGTATTATTTTTTTTATTTTGTTATATTCATCTCGATTTATTTAAATTATTTAAACTTATATTTAACCTTTGTGGCTTATTTGCTTCTAAAATTTTTAAACATTTCGTGTTTCTGTGAGGCTTTATGGAAGGTAATCGCTCACTAAGCGAAAAGTCACTCATAGCACGTTTGAGAGATCTACATACATCTTGATATTCGTTATAATATTTGACCAGACGGTGCTGTGGCGATGAAGAGTTCGGTATATCGGTAGTGGCTTAGGTTGGATCAATGATCAAGGCACAAATGACTGTGGTTGTATTATTTTACAAAATCATTGAACTACACTTTAAAATATATTTAAATGACTTTTTGGCGAACCTCGTCCCAAAATGGACATTTTTTTAATTTAAAAACGTGACAATAGCTATTTTTTGTGATTGGGGTATTTATTCAAATTAACTAAAAATAATTGTTGTGCATATCACAGCCACAGATACTCAAAAAAGGGGAAAAGTAGGGACAAAATTTCTTTTATAAAAAAAGAAACAAAAAGATTTAATAGTGTCGTTCAGAAATGTTGGGTGAATAATTAAATGTAGAGAAGAATTGGATTTTTTGAACTCCGGTCGAAAAAAATTAAAAACGAAAAAATAGCTTTACCGGTGTTTTTAATGCAGTATAACCCACGTATACAAATGAAGTATCAGCAAAGACCTATCCGTCGTATCGTGGTTGTATCATATCAACCATAAGATAGTATTTTTTCATTCCCACAGTGCTTACACTGTGGTCTGTGCGACCCCAGCACGTCGCGGCAGCCACGGCACGAACTTTGCGACATGAATGTTAGAAACAACAGATCACAACTATTGAGCGATTTCTTCCTTTGAGTTTAACATATTGTACTTATTTTTGATAATATTAAGATATACTATTTTTTATTTTTTTTCTTGTAAACTTTCTTAAGTATTTTAAGAACAAATAGGATCATAAGCTAAAATATTAAGTGACAGTAAAATTAAGTCATTACCTTTCTAAGGTAAGGTCTCACTCACAAACAGTTATAATATAGATTAAAAAAAAAAAACAAAAAAGTCAGCACTTAGTAAATAAAGCGTGTTAAGTAAAATAGGTTATTTGGATAATGTAATCTATCGGTAGAACATTTAAGTATATACGAGTATGATGATAGATAAACACCCTTGTTTCTATTTATCTAATAGATAAGAGGTGCGAAGGAAGGGATCGACCCTCAGACGAGCGAGCCCTGACCTGCCCTGCGACCGCCCTGCGGACCGCGCGGAGAGCGCCGGTCACGTTGATACATTTAATTTAAATAATTTACTTAAGTACAAACTTCTATGTACATAATATATAAAAGGTATTCGTTTTAACTAAAAATTAGTTTTAAGGTTTGAAAAACTTTAAACATTTCTTACTTTATATTTCTTCCGTACAGCAAATTATAATAAATTAACTAGGTTTTAGGTGCAGTTTGTGTGGGAGGGTGATATAGGTTACTTCCTACTCTACACATTAAAAGGTCCCGTGGAATATATTATATTATATGTAAATAGTTAAATCAAAGGGATAAAATATTTAATGGGATTATTTTTGCCTTACCTGTAATTGTTAATTAAATCTATAGTTGTTTTTATTTGTAATATTGATTTGAACGTTTGAAATAATATGAAATTCGAATGAAAATATAATGACCTAATGCGATGCTCTGATCTGATGAAGGAGCAGGAGGTGGAAAGTGCCAAATATATTTTAATACGTATTATTAATATACAAAATTTGGATAATATCATACTTTTTTAAACTTTTATTTATTTCTACCATTATACCTCTAAAATATTATTATTTTATCGTGTAATAACTAAATCAATATTATTTTAACGTTATTCCTTAATTATATTTGAATTATGACATTATTTAACATTTGATGCGAAAAACAAATTTTAAAGAATTTTTATCCTACAAATTTTACAACATTCTTGTACTTTAGGAGAATTTAAACGCGAATAGAGCTATACTACTAATCTAAGATTTTTAATAGTTATATTATGAAATAGTAAAGGTTTTCCGCGAAGAAATTCTTTTTAATTACATAATAAAGTGACACAACTCAAAAAATGGTCAATCCATCTTATAAATGGGCATGGAACTGCCACATAACGTATTTTACTACGTTTTTTTTGGATTATTGGTAAAAATAAAATATACATTTCTGTTTTTGCAAAATTGGAAATCTACATTAATTATTATTAAAAAACATTAATTGTAACTCTCAGTATAATAAATATGATTATATTCAAGCATCTTTTTTGTTTTATTTTACTATTGTTTTTTTTCTTGTATATACGAGTAGCTTATGATATATAAGGATGCTCTTATTCAATATCTGGGACTATTCCTTTCAAACAAACAAACAAACAAATAAATAAAAAAAAATTATCTCTTCTACGTCCACGTTTTGCAGGATGCCCTATTTTACTGTAATGGTAGAGGTGTGACATTTAAAGTAGGTGTCTATAATGATTATCATAGATAATTATATATAGATGTATTCTTACGATATTCAAATTATTTTTTTAATAGCTAAAATAGACAAAATGAAAGTTATAGTTTTAAAACCAATACAAAAAATGGTAGTTTACTAAAATGAATCCCATCTATAATATAATCCACATAGACGTAGGATAAAAGAGTCACAAAAGCATACTGTTCATAAAATCTCAATATATTGTGTTCCATATTTTAATCTATAACTACCAATTCTCAATTTAACAATTATGGATATTTATTCCTAGACTAGAGCCGTGCTAGAGTCAGGAGAGATGGAATATGATACATGATACGTAATATAATGAATATAATAATAAGGAGGGGTTTCTTTTATTCAAAAATATTAAATTTAATTGTAATGTTGAAATCGTTTTACAAAATCATATCAACAGAATTGAAATATTATAATTTAAATTAGATACATTCATTATTTTTAAAATTCATGAATGAATAATATCATATTTTATAATAATATTTTTCTACAGCACGAGGGTGTTATTTCAAATTTGCTGTAATGGTTCTAATTCAACTTTGCTGTGCTTGTCTAACCCGTACTGGAAGATACTCGTAGAGATTTCACTGCAACACAGTAAATGTTAATAGATAAAATATATATCGGGTAATTTGTGTAAAAGATATTTTTGTTATTTTTACTATTAGAAAAAAAACAAATAATTAAACAATCTATTTGTTTGTTCCCTAAGACGGCATTCTAGTTTAATAATCATAATAATTTAATTTCATTTTATTAATAATAGGTCAATTTTATTATTCTTTATACTCGTAAACTAAAAATAATGTAAAATTGTAAATAATGTTAATATAAAAATTATAATAATAAGTTGTCTATGCTCATCTACGTACGCGTGCCCTACAACTTTTTAATTTATTTTTAAACGCTTCAAAAATCTTTTAAAAACTGCTGCAAAATTTTGATTCTTTTAAATAAGATTAATACAGTTCAGTCATAGGTATTTTTTAAGTTTTTTTATTTTGTTCTAGAACTTTAAGAAACTTAAAAATAATATGAGAATTTTAGGATATTTTTTTTACATTGCCCA